AATGACGTCTGGTGGGAGGAAATAGTAGAGCTTGTGATATACCCCTAACCTGTGGAGGGAGAGGGGAAGTTGGCAGAATCCCCTTCCCCCCTTCAGGAAGTCCCCCTAGATCTCTCTGTGATCACAGTAACTCGTATAAGTATCTCCCCCATAATTTTCGTTCCTGCCTCCAGTTTCTACCTTTAAGTAAGGTTTCATCTCCTTTCCAGTCATTATTTCAGTCCCATCCCCTTTTTCACGGCTACTGTGAACTACGGCCTAGACCAACTTCTACAGTCCTTCCACTCATCTCTACCCCTATCCTACCACTCAAATTAAAGACGAGCCGATTCGAGCTTTAGAAGTTACTCTGTCTATATAATTACTACTTTTTTTTATTGCAGTGCAAATATGTCAGACGATAAGATGCTCAAAAAAGTTGAGAAGTGCGTGAGGATGTTGAAACACGAGAATAAGGTTGGTAATTGCTTCCCATCTTCTTTACAGTGCCTCGTTTTTTTCTTCCGCTTTTCCCTTTTTCCGCTCCCTAGAGATGGCGCATATTTGCCGAACCAGAGCTTGGTACTCAAGTGAGCTCTGTGGCTCTTGGCCGGCGATTCCGGCATTGTTTTGTCCCGTTTGTGCGAATGTCCCGCCAGCAGTGCTTACTGCCTCTCTCTGACAGTTGCCCGTGTAACAACGGTAGTTCCTCGTCATTTCGTGACTGTCATTTGCAGATTGGTTACGCACTGCAACGATTGGCAAAGATTGATATGACTGTGGATGTTCTCTCAAAGACTCACGTCAGATTGGCAGTAAGCGCCTTGACGATGAATCAGACATACTGCGCCGAAGCTCGTGAACTCCTTCAGAGATGGAAGTCTGTGGCGCGTAATGCTCGTATCAAAGAAAAAAGGTACTTGCAGTTTTATTTCTGTGACAAAACATGCACATAACAGTTTTGAGAGGCCAAAGGTCAAATTGTCTTACTAGTGATCATTGATGTTTAAAAAAAATTTTATCATATCTTATTAAACTTGGTCAGTTTTTCACACGACTAAAGGCGAAGCTGAAGTTTCGAAAGTTCATTGCTAGATTTGTGACCATGATGAACGAGATAAGAAATCTAATTTTTCCTACTTTGGTTTTTAGTAGGGGCTGCAGGGAACATTGGTAAAGTTTGATTTTATAAATCCATAAAAACTGTATAAGTAGTGGAAGTAGAAACTGATAAAGCAGGACTTCATCTCGTCTGTTTCAGTGTTGGGCCTCTCTTGCACAGTTCAGCTGAAGAAATCAATCCCCCCGGAAAAACGGAATGTCAACTGGCCGATAATGGTGACGATGACGCTGAAAAAGAAAACGGGCATGAGGTGAGTTGATCAGTCAGCTAAGATATGAAATGTATAGTTCGTGTGTACCTGAAAATATCAATGTCCAGTTCCTTCTGAAGGGGCAGCCCCTTCAAAAATATTGATACGGCCGAAGATTTTTCATCGAAAAACACCTCTCGCAGTGTGACGATGGCTGGAAGCAGTTGCATCAACGTGATTTTCTTTTTTTGCGGGATGCCCATGATGATAATCGCAAAGTATTGAAGTTCACGCATGATGTTTCGTTGCTGCTGGGTTGACAGACAACAGACAGGTGGATGAGTTGGTGGCGAGAGAGGGGAGGGGGAGATATCGAAACAGCTTACAGTAAACTTAAAATTCGTCGAAGTTGAGTATGAATTTGCAGCATTTGGAAACGAAGGGCGAGGAATACTGGGAAAATTATGTGAAAGCTGCATTCCCGAGGTGTAACAGGAAGGATGGCGAAAGCTGGAGCGAGTGTTGTGAGGTTAGTTTCGTTATCGGTCGGCGGGGGATGTTGTGGGTCTGAATTCTGTTGATTTCCCTTGAATGACTGCAATTTCGCCGTTGTGCTGCTCCTTGTCATCGACAGATGGCAGTCTTCGTGGTCTAGAAACTCGTCCCAATCACGAAACTGTGGAATTGCTTTGCGTTGGTCTCACCGGTAACCATTCCAGCATGACCAGTACATGCAAATAACCCATCCTCTGCTCAAATTCTACTGATTTTTTCATAATGCAGTTCCGCCTTATGCTACTTGACTGGTGTATTGGCAAATTGTAACATTTATTTTTCAGCGTTTGAAAGCGGAAAGAGAGCAGAAACGGGCGGCAATTACGAGCAGAATCCAGCAAGGCATTGTTGCGAGAGAAGCTGCAATGAGAAGGGCCGTGCTTATCGATGCAATACCGCCAAATAGCTATCTAAAAGGAAAAGCAGGCGAAAGAGGTTGGTTGTTGCTTTGCTTTTGCTAGCCTTTTAACATCCAGTTGCTTTTGTTATGCAAAAATAGGGCGAAATCAGTTACGTCGGCACACATCGACTGTCTCTTTATGTATTTTTTGCTGTGTAACGGCTCCACGGAACGCACATACTGTTATGTCGTTGTAAATGTGCATGCCTATATATATATAGGTATGTGTGTGCTTTTGTCTGTGATTTTCAAATTGGGAGTCACAAAAGCTAGAAAGCTGAAATTTCAAGGTAATATTCCAAGCCCATGTGCATTCCTAAAAGTTTTGAATTCGGCATGCGCCTGCACCTGAATTTCATGTCCGGACACATAGGAGTTCTGTGTCTCAGGAACCAGCAGGATGGAAAGCTCTGACAATTTAGCATGGCACCTGCTCAAAATGTATAACCTTGGAATTTCAAATGTAGCAGCTTACATATGAATGTGAAATTTCATGTGGGGATTTCCATTCCCGAAACTAGATTAAACAGAAAGCTGAAATTGTTGGGTGATGTTGCTGTTCTTGTGTGAATTCAGACCTTGTATTCTGGTGCTTGTTGCTCTCTGTTTACCTCTGTTAGCCTTGGCGGTCCCTCCTTCGGTTCTCATTTCACTTAGTTACTTTTTGCTGAATTGGAGTCTTTAATTGCCGGTTTTTTTAAACCATCACGCACTTTGTGCATATTTCAGGCGAAGCGGTTTCGGCGAACTTCCGTACAGTACGAGGCATCGCTGCTCCGTCCAGTTCGTGCAGGAAGCAGAAGAAAGAAGTGGCGCCCCTGATGAAGAAAACTTTAAAAATGCTTGGTATCAAACAAAAAAGAGGAGGGCGCTGATTCCCTGCTCTTCTTCCTTTACTTTTCGAGGAATTTTCTTCTATTTGTCGTTTAATTAAGAAATTAATTGAGGGAATTTGATGGAATGAAGTAAAGGGAAGTTTGGTTCCAGGCACAAATTCTCAGAATTGGGCCATGGATTAATAGCATGCAC